TTCAGTAACAACCTGTAGAAAAATAACCCCTCCAATGTAGGAATTAGCTGGTTTACACAAGTTACTGTTTGGAATCTGGTGTGTGTTTTCTAATAGAAGCAAAGTTAGTGGTACATGGTGGTAGTTTTCCCAGCCCTGCCTCAGAGACGGTTAGTAGCTGCATTCTAGAACTTTGGGAATAATTGGCCCCATTTTAATGGGGGTTAATGATTGCACAATGAAGACAAATGACCGACCACAGCTCAGTCTGGCCTCCCAATGCTCAGGGCAATGTCCTGTCCTATGGACCTGGTAACTTTACAGGTAAATATAGATCAGCCTTGTATGTCCAGCTGCACTGGGACTGAGCATAGTTTAGATCATTGCCATCTGAATACTCTAGGAATGTATTGCAGGATGCATTTCTCCTATATAGAGGAATAGTCCCTGCAAAGCTTCAATGGGACCATAATCAGCTGTGGAGATGCTAGTTTATGGTGGATAAACATACTGTTCAGATGGAGGAAAAACTACTTATTGTAATTGCTTCACATAATAAACCAGTGATTCAAATGAGCAGGCCAGGATAAATGTTTAGCTTGGTGTAATCGAATCAGTTTACAAGAACCAGAGGAAATCCAGGTGATTGTGGTTTCTGTGCAAGGTACGAGACTCATAGGTGAATGTTTACAGGCTACAGAGCAAATATTTCAGACATAGGTGTTTGTACATAACACTTACTTTGTTCAGACCCCTTGGAACTTTTATACCAAAGTGACCTCCTACCGCAACTCTCCATAGTAGTCAGGGATTACCTTTCTTACTAGATGGATTTTGTACATCCTCTGACTTGAAAATATTTTCAAAGGCAGTTAATCATCCGTTCAGTTTTATACTTTATAGACATTCCAAATTTTGGTCCAAAATGTTGTTTACCAGCTGGATTGTCCTCTTCATTTGTTAAACACATCTGTATGTGTTTTTAGCTCTTTTCTCAAGTCACATCTACCTTAAGAATTCAAGAAGTGGGGTGCCTGGTTGCCTCAGTTGGTTAAGAGCTGCCTTCGGCTCAGGTCATGATCCCAGGGTCCTGGGATCGAGCCCCACATCGGGCTCCCTGCTCAGCAGAAAGCCTGCTTCTCCTTCTCCCTCTGCCTGCCGCTCGACCTACTTGTACTCTCTCTCCCTCTCTCTCTCTCTGTGTCAAATAAATAAATAAATCTTAAAAAAAGAAAAAAAAAGAATTCAAGAAGTGCCGTCATTGATGAATTCATGGAGTGGGCATCAAATTCTGTAGCTGCTTCTCAATTATAATCCTAAAAACCTTTTGTAAAATGGCTGTTTCACTGGCATTAAGATATAAATATTCTAGTTATTTTTAGTCTTGTCAGGGTCATGGGTCCCTATGAAAATATGATGGAAACTATCTCCTTCTAAATAAGTGAACATGACAATATATGTACACATTTTACACATCAATTTATTCCTCTAGAATATATCTAGGAGTTAAGAACTAAGTTCTTAATTAAGGTTAAGAACTTTTATTGTAAGGGGACATTTTCAAAAGAGATAGTACCTATTTTGATTTACAGTTTAGATGTTTATTAAAAATGCAATAGTGGGGTACCTGGGTGGCTCAGTGTGTTAAGCTTCTGCCTTTGGCTCAGGTCATGATCTCAGGGTCGTGGGATGGAGCCCCACATTGGGCTCTCTGCTCAGCAGGGAGCCTGCTTCTGCCTGACTCTCTGCCTACTTGTGATCTCTTTCTCTGTCAAATAAATAAAATCTTTTTTTAAAATGCAGTAGTTTCATTGCTTATCATCACATCTTCAATCTATACTTGTACTGTTTTATATAGACATGGTATAATTGACTACATTAAAAATGACCTGCTTTTTAGAATTTGTTTTATGTTTTTTAAAATTTTAATGTATTTTAACTACTCTTAAACCTTTTTCAACTTTCTAAATGAGGAAATTTTTTTTACTGTATGGAAGTACTTCTTTTTTATTCTTGTTAATCTTAAAAGATAATCTATCTTTAGAACTTTGGCTCAAACATTTGACTTAATATTTGTATTTGAAAAAATTTTCTAATAGAACATTGACCTTAAAGATTTTGAAAGTCACAGTTTGCATATATATTTAATTCCAGTTCTCTTCTATTAAAATAACATTGACTGAATCTCAGAATTAGGTGGTAAGTCCTTTACATTTTTTTAATATTACCAAATTATAAATTTTAGAATTAAATAAAATATGAATTTGAGGGACTGCAAGAATTTAGTACATACAACTATATTTTTCACGGTGGTTTATAGAACTTACATAGAAAAATAAGCTCTTTTAGTGATCATATATACTCAATATGTGTTCTTTCTTATTATGAATAATGATTTTATATATATATATGCAGTGCAGTGTTCATCACCTCCTAGTCAGAAAAGCTGCACTGTCATTTCAAATCCACAACTAAGTCTAACATAATAAGATCTATGATTTAAAGCATTCAGGACCATATCCAGTCTTGCCAAAGTTCATGTGACTAGGAATTCAAAGAGCCCTTTGAAAAGAGAGAAACTTCAGTGGAAACAATCTCATAGCCACATGGTCATGTGTGGATGCTGTCATGAGCTTCTAGCTTTTATCCTGTTTTATTGCTGTATATGCAAGTGGAGCCATTTCAAATACAAAACAAAAGCAACTTGTGGGTTTGGTGATGGGTCAGGTTGATAGGAAATACTTGGCCTCACAGAAAGACATGTATTTGTGTCCACAGAGAATGTGTGCAAACATTATATATCTAGGATATATATATATATATATATATAGTCCTTTGTAGATTTTATTTCTAAAATTATGACACATTCTTAAATTAATAGTGTATTACGGTTCATTTGGTAGCATTTTTTTTCCTACCTACACGAAGTTAATAGTGAAAATGACAATTGATGGTGTCTTAGATTCAACAACACATTATATATAGATTAGAACACATAAGATCTGAAGGCACCTTAGCAATGTTAAAACAACTCTCCAAGGAAATTGAAACTGAAGGGTCAATTAGTTTGCTAGAAAGACAGATTTTGGTGACAGTCCAGAGATTAATTTTTCAAGTATTTTCACCCATCTTATGTGAATCATTAGACCATAAACCCATAAACTCAATGTAAATCACTTTTTAAAAGACATTTTTAATATAATATTTGATGCATGGAACATAATGTTTATGTAAATTATAAAGCATAATGAATTATTGTTGAGTGTAAATGAACACATTTTAACTACATGCAAAATCTTGGATAATCTTAAAACATTAATGTCAAGAGAAATGAGTATTGCCCAAGCCTGCATATCAAATGATGCCATTCTCTATAAATAAGTAAAATTTTCAAAATTAAAATTGAGCCTGATTCATATAGTACCTTTTTAAAATCATTGTTCACTTTCAGTGTTAATGCGGACAAAAGTATTCAAGGTTTGTTGTTTTTGTTTTTTTAAATCCACATGTTAGAGCCAAAATTAAAAAGGCATGTTTTAATGGGAACTGGTTTAAAACAATTTGACTAGAGTGAGAGAAGAGTTTGGAAAATGTGTCTGTGCTCAGTTTTGCTTCTAAATTTGGACTTTGAAACTTATTGTCAGTCTCAGAAAGAAATAAGAAGCTGTGCAGATAATTAAACATTTGCCTTGGGGGAATTATTTGCAGTTAATTAAAATCATACACTTTGGGTGTATGCTTGCTTCACTGGTTATTAAATTTGAATCATATGTTAACTACCCAGGTTTCTCACTTGTCCATCAAATGTTGCTTGTGGCAGGTTCAAGAAACAAACTTTCTCATAATATTCCAAACTGCATTGTTTGAAATGATCTCCTAGTTGGGGGAGGGAGAAAGGGAAAAGGAATAAGGAAACAAAGAAAGAAGGATTTGAGACTCATCTATTCAGCTCTGTTCAGAGTGACAGCTCAGTGGAGCAACGTGAACTCAGTAGAGAACCCATTTGTAATGGGAGTCTCAGTCTGCCATCCCCAGTGTGCTCCATGGCCAGATGCATACCATATTAGGTCATGGCTTTTAGATATCTTTAGATTACCACTCTTATAGCTGCATGAAAAATATCCCCTAGATTGTAACCTTTATGAGGGCAGAGTCAATCACTATTGACTCCCTAGACTCAAGAAGTATCTAGCATAGGGTTGGCCCTTAATAAATACTTTTAGAATGAATGAAAGGCCCATTTCTGTCTTCTCACCGACCCACTCACATGCTCTTTCTGATAGTTTTCTAAAGAGCCTACAGAGAGCCCTCAGGAACCAATGAGGAATCCCGTGTAGTCTTGGAAGAGTCCATGGTCACTGAAACCTATTTGGCCACGTTATTTCTTGCAAGTATATCCTGTAACAACAACAACAACAACAACAACAACAACAAAAAAAACATGAACTTATACTGATTTCACATTTAAATGTGCTATATGAGGGAGAGGATGAAATTGCACAGAACAGAAGGTTTGCATTCCCCTTTGCTATTGTTCTACTGGTAGTGTTCCTCAGGAAGATGAACTTAATTACAACTGGATTTCAAAGCTCTACATCTGGCTCTTTCAAGGACTCAAGGCTCCCATATATGAACAATTAAAGTAATGGACGCATTAAGAACATTAAAATTGTTATTCCTTTAATCTCCTCTATTTTGCCTTCCTTTCATATCCTTTTGCACAATTCTCCAAGGACTTTCACTAATGCATAAAGGCCTGCTTACATTTTCTTCTTTGTTGCAAAAAGATAACCCAACCAAATTTCTATCATCCTTACCTTTGTAAACTTTGTACAAGACCTCTTCTACAGTACTTTAGGAATAGCTTAGTTATTGATAAAAATATTTAAGTATTCTAAGGGTATTTTCTAAAAATAATAAATTCCATGCCCCAAAGATAGATATATCATGACAGTGCTGGCAGCTTCTCTGCTTCCCAGTTAAAAGTGCTGACTAGAGGTTTTGCTTATTTGTTGTGGCAGATTCTGCAAAGGACGACAATATTGTAAAAGACAGTGAAGTGACAGATCATTCTGTGTGTGACCAAGATCAACCTAATGGTAAGTTGTGAGGTCCTTTTTTATTTGTTTTCTTCTTCTGAGAAACATTATATTTAAAAAAACAGATTTTAGTTTTTCTGGGAAAAAATGGTATCTGGTAATATTTTATTAACTATGAATGTCAAGTGACTGGTAGCTGCCAAGTTTAGAAAGGAAATTTGCTCTCCACAATCCTCATCACTATTTTTGTACCAGGCCAACTTTATTTTTGTTACCTGCCTAAACTCTATGGGCATTGGGTTTGCAACTACAGAAATGAAGAAACGATAATAATGAGAAAAATGGGACTCATATAGACAATAGAGCTAGGTGATTAAATCTACATATCCTTGGAATACAAAGAAGAGAGACTAGAACAAACAGAAATGGAACAATCTTTAGACAAATAACAGAAAAATAGTTTTCCTAATGTAAACCAGTTTCTCCACCCAAAACACAAGAGTACACATATTTATAGACAACAGTACTGAAAACTCAAACAGGAACAGAAATCTACAAAGCCTCATGGACTTTCTGAAGATCAGTGATAAAGAAAGGCTTATAAAGCATATAGGAAAATCAGGTTGCAAACAAAATCAGCAAAATCAGATTAGCCTTAGCTTTCTTTCTCCTTCCACAATTCTAAATACTAGATGAAATGGAATAACATTTCCATTGCTTGAAAGGACACAGTTTCTATATTTAGTGAAGTTATTACTCATACATGAAGTCAGGAGTAATATTTTCTCAGGGATACATAGATTAAGAAAATATACCACCCAAGTATCCTTCCTGAATAAACTAACAGAAATCCTGTGCAAAAACAATAAATATAGAAAGGAAGGAAAATGTCAAGACTGAGAAAGGCACACTTGGAAAGGAATGTGTGATAAGAGACTCATTAAATGTATGAAAATGTTGAAATAATTGCTTCAAAATTAGTATCAGAATATCTTAATTAAATGTTTGCTTTTATCTTTGAAAAATATATGTTGTTTTAAAATGAGAAAGAAAGAGGAGAGACTTTGCTTTCAGCAATGAAAGTCTAAATAACTTAAACCATTACTCTCCTTGAAGATAACTAGAAAAACTACACCAAAAACAAAAATTATGGAGTCTGTTTATAGGCATCAAAGAGCTAACAAGATAATGAAGAATTTTCAGGCTACATTCTGGGATAAAACAGATATCCAGAGATGTGAATTCAGAACTTGAAGCTGTTTTTATCTTAAGTCATTTGCTGATTCTACAAAAGGTATCCATCCAGAGTCCCATTGAAAAGGGCAAGGGACCATGCTAAACCCTCTGGTCTTTGTGTTGAAACCCTAAAGATATGTATCCTAGAATATAGGATACATATCTTTAGATGAACCAGCAGGAGACCAGTTTTCTGAAAGACTGTTGCGCAGCTTTGAATCTTCTCAATCCTCAAATTAAATTAAGATCAACCCAGATTGCTAGTCCCTACTGGCACCTGAGAAAAACAAATGTAAAACATTTACTAAGTTAAAAAAGAGTGTTGTGGGTTTCAAACCATTTACAAAAATGAGTTTTTAACATGATTTCCAGCATGTCCAGCACACACAGAAAAAATAGCCAGAAAAAAATGAAACAAGGAAACATAAAAACAATCAAGAGAAACAGGCCATTTGGGCTAAAAATATTAGAGTTATACACATAATGTATAAAATAATTTTGTTGACTATTATGGGGGATAAAGACAAGATTGAAAAATTTAGCTGCAAAATAGAAATTCAAAACAAAATAACACAAAAGAAAAGAAAGGGGCACCTGGGTGGCTCAGTTGGTTAAGCATCTGCCTTCTGCTCAGGTCATGATCTCAGGGTCCTGTGATCAAGCTCCGTGTCAGGCTCCCTGCTCAGCAGAGAGTCTGCTTCTCCCTCTCCCTCTACCCCTGCCCCCACTCATGCTCTCTCTCTCTCTCTATCAAATAAATAAATAAAATCTTAAAAAAAAAAAAAAGAAAAAGAAAATAAAATCTAGATGTGAAAGATGCCATAACTTAAATGAAGAATTCAATGAATAGATTCACGGTTTGACTATGTTTTAGACACAGATGAAAGAGAATTTGTGCACTAGAAGTTAGGTCATAAGAATATATATTTAAAAAAAAAAAAAGTAGAGAGGAAAAAAGGATGGCAAACACTAAAGAAAGGGAACAAATATAGAGGAAAAAATGATAAATTCTATAACAAATGTAATTGGAGTCCCAGACAGAAAGGAAAGGTGGAATTGGGCAGAAAAAAATATTTCAGGAAATTATGCTGAGAAATATCCTACGTTGATGAAGGATATCAGGCCACATGTTCCAAAGCCTTTTGAACTCCAAGAAAAATAAATCCATAAGTAGGCCCATCATTGTACAACTGCCGAAAATCAAAGATAAAGAGAACATCTAAAAAGCAATCTTTAAACAGACTGATAGCTGACTTTTAATAAATACAATGGAAATAATAAGACAATACAGCATGATAGTTACCATCCAAGAATTCTATACTCAAGGAAAATGTGTGTTTCAAGAATAAAAGTTAATCAAGGATATTTCAGGCCCCCCCCCCCCCCCAAAAAAAAAAAAGAAAAGAAAAATTCACCAACAGACAATTTTGGTGTTTTCTTTGGGTAGGAGGGTATTGATCCCAGATAGAAGGAAAAAGATGAAAGAAAAGAATTAAAAGCAAGGTAAATGGTAATTATTCAGTAAGTCTAAATGAATACTGATGATACCAATTCTTGACAAGAAGCAGGAAAGTGTGACCCATAAGAGAAGAAAACTCAATTAATATAAATCAACTCAGAAATGAGGGGCACCTGGGTGGCTCAGTGGGTTAAAGCCTCTGCCTTTGGCTCAGGTCCTGATCCCAGGGTCCAAGGATCGAGCCCTGCATCAGGCTCTCTGTTCAGCAAGGGGCTTGCTTCCCCCCGACCCCTGCCTACCTTTCTGCCTACGTGTGCTCTCTGTCTGTCAAATAAATAAATAATATGTTAAAAAAAAAAAATCATACAGATAGTGTAATTAATGGCACAGGTAGTGTAATGTTAAACGTTATAATTGTATTCCGTATTTTCTGAATGTTAAAAGAGAGATTGTCCACACTAGAGACATTAAAGGTATAAAATAACCCAAATTCAACTTCTAGAGATGAAAAACTGAATGTCTGAAATGAAAACTGCACTGATGGTAATAATGGCAGATTAGTCACTGCAGAAGAAAGGGTTGCAAATTTGAAGATGTAGCAATAGAAACTATCCAAATTGAAACACAGAGAGAATAAACAATTGAACAATGGAAAGATCATCAGTGAGCTATGGAAGAACTTTAAAGGTAATTCCTTGCCCAATATATATAAACTGAACTCTCTGAAGGCAAAGCATGGGAAGGGAGACAGAAAAAATATTTGAAGTAAAAATAATTGAAAATTTTCAAAACTTTGATGAAAACCATGAGCCCATATATTCAAGAAGTTCTATGACCCCGAAGCACAAGAAACATAAATGAAATTATAACTAAGCCCATTGTCATCAACTTACTCAATTCAGTGATAAACAGAAAAAAATTGAGAAACAATCAGAGGGAAAAGATAACATGCATACAGAAGAATAGATAGAAAGAGGAAGCCGATGTCTCATTGGAAACTGCATTGGAAACTGCAAACCAAAAACCAAAATTACAGGCTCAAACTTGGATAACGTTAAATTAAAGATGGTACAGAAGCACATATATTGTACAGCTTCACTTATATCAAGTTTGAAAAGCAGGAAAACATAATGATACTATTTAGAAAGACATGCTTGAGTTGGGAAAATGATAAAGAAAATCTAGGTAGTGATTACTCTGATTAGGTTGCTGATTAAATTTTTGTGATTAGGGAGGAGGTTCTAATTGGCCCATGATCTGGGTTTCTGGATTGGATGAATATCCAGTTTCTATAAGGATATGTAGTTTTTCTATTTGCTTTTGGTTATTTAACCGAACTCTCTATGTTGTTGGTGCACTTTCCTATATTTTGTCGCATTTTTAGAGAATAGTTAAAAGAGGAAGGAAGAAAGGCAGAGAAGGAGGGAGAGAAAAGGAAGGAAGTATCAATGTCAGAGTTTCTGAAGCAAAGATTATGGTGGGGAGCAGGGAAGGTTGCACAGAATGCTGATTTCAATAAAGGTACTCAAAAACTGAAAATCCTGCTCTGCTCTAGATTCTGACAATATAAGTTAGGGTTAAGAATACCTTTGAAAATCTTGATGATAATCACAAATAGAAATAAATCACAATAGAATTAAAGGAAGAGATCTTACTCTCTCAATTTCCTGGTATGTTTCATACCACAGAATGAGTATTTTCAATAACTCAAATAAAAAAATGAAGTAGCAGTGTAAGAAAAGCACAATATATCAAATAAGTTAACAGAAACACAGGCAAATAATTATGACAGGAAATGTAATTAGGTTAATTTATTAAGTATAAAAACCAGTTATGTTGAATTAATTTTTAAAAATAGGGGTGCTGGGTGGCTCAGTCAGTTAGGCATCTGCCTTCAGCTCAGGTCATGATCTCATGGTCCTGGGATTGAGTTCCTCATTGGGCTCCCTCCTCAGCTGAAAGTCTGCTTCTCCCTCTCCCTCTCTCTCTCTCTTCCTCCTGGCTTGTGTTCCTTCTCTCTCTCTCTCTCTCTCTCTCTCTCCCAATTACTCAGTCTCTCTCTCAAATAAATAATAAAATCTTAAAGAAAAATAGTAAATGTTTGAAAAATATAGTTAAGGTTTGCCTGGGTGGCTCAGTTGGTTAGGCATCTGCCTTTAGCTCAGATCATGACCCCAGGGTCCTGGGATCAGGCCCTTCTTTGGGCTCTCTGCTCAGCGGGGAGCCTGTTTCTCTCTCTCCCACTGCCTCCTATTCTCCCTGTTTGTGCTCTCTCTCTCTCCCTGTCAAATAAGTAAATAAAATATTTAAAATAAATAAATAAATATTAAAAATATAAAGTCAGGAAAGATATATATAGGAAATA